AGAGCATGATGCTGTCAGCACTTCTACCAGTAGGTGTGGGAGGGACACACCTGTCCTCTGCATGCTCTAGACACCACCTCCCCTGACTTCCTATGTACAAATGAGCACAGTCTCAATGAAAATGCAGGAAAGTTATTGTTGAGGACAAATCTTCAAAGTTATCCCAAGCTCTAGACACTGCATACCTTTACCTATTCCCTGGAGTGTTGTCCAATCTTCGACCCTTAACCTAGGACCCAACAAGTTCCCCATGATTAATTGCCCCCATGAGTTCACTTTCCCTCCTTAGAGAAGATATTACTGATTGTGCCTCATCATCTGTGGTGTGTGCCCCCTCCTAACAGTTTTCATATTTCAGTTCAGGTATCCATCTGCATAGCCATGAATGTGGTGGTTTGAAAGAAAATGGCCTCCTAAGGGAGTGACACTATTTGGAGGTGTGGCCTTGTTGGAGTTGGTATGGTCTTGTTGGAGGAAGTATGTCACTGTGGAGGTCTCACATATGTGTAGCATGAACTCTAATTGGTCTTAATAATAAAAACCCAGAGTCAGATATTGGGGTAAATGCTGAAAGATCAGAGAAGTAAAGAAGAAGCCAAAGTCACCTCTTACCTCCACAACTCCTCAGACCAAAAACGGCCCAGTCTCCTGTCTCCATCCACCTTATATTCCTCTCTCCACCCCTGTCTCCTGTCTGTACAGACCTCCAGACCTCTATGGTGAACTAATGGCTAGCTCCACCCTCTAATCTTCAGGCAAGCTTTGTTTGTTAGAGCACAAACAAAATATCACCACATATATGCTCAAGCCATGCCCAGTATTTCGGTTCATTTCCTGTTGCCATGGAATCAAGATGTAAGGACTCTCAGCTCCAGCACCACGTCTGCCTGTATGCTGCCTTGCTCCTCACCATGATGATAATGGACTAAACCTCTCAAATATAAACAAGCCACCCCAATCAAATGTTTTCCTTTATAAGAGTTTCTGTGGTCATAATGTCTCTTCACAGAAATAGAAACCCTAAGACTCCATGCAATATGGGATAAAGTTGACTCAAAGTCTCTAAACATGGGGATAGATCCTGAGTGACATAAGAAGACAAAAGTATTCTGTTCTGACACAGTCACTAATGTATTATTGGGTATATGACAAACAGTTTAACCAGGATGAACAATAGGATTCTTAGTTGGAACACTCTGATAGAATTCCATTCTGATACCAGAGTATACAGGGAAATGAAACACTGGAAGAGTCCCAGTAGCCATTCCACACCTGCACAGCCAAGCAGACAAATGTCACAAGTGGAACAGAACCATTAAGGCTTAAACTCACCCTTTCCTTTTTTTTTTTTTTTTTTTTTTTTTTTTTTTTTTTTTTTTTTTTTGGTTTTTCGAGACAGGGTTTCTCTGTGTAGCTTTGCGCCTTTCCTGGAACTCACTTGGTAGTCCAGGCTGGCCTCGAACTCACAGAGATCCGCCTGGCTCTGCCTCCCGAGTGCTGGGATTAAAGGCATGCGCCCATCGCCCGGCTTAAACTCACCCTTTCCTAAAACCTCTACTATGTCTGCACTTTCAGGTAATTGAGACCATAGATTTTCTGATTTATATTTCAGCAATAATTTAATATTTGCCCAACACTGTGGTTCATACTAGCATATGAAAAGGTCTGAAAGAAGCACAGGTTAGGCACATCTCAGGCTGAGTAGGTGGCCATCCTCAGCATAAAGGTGAAACGATGCTGGGTAAACTATTGGCTGCAGTGGGAAAGAAAGAGCCTAAGGGACCCCCTCCCTCCTCTCTTCAGGCCTCTTCTAACAGAAAGAGTGGGCTTGGGGATTAGGGCAGTCCTCTGAATTAGCACCCCTCAATATAAGGATTTCAGGGACACTATAGGCCAGGGAGATGGCTCAGCAGCAGGTAAAGATAGTTGCTGCCAAGCTGGCAATCTGGGTTTCATTTCCTAGAGCCCCACGGTGGAAAGAGAAAAAGTCAACTCCCACAGTTGTGCTTTGACCTCCACATGCTCATCAGGGAACAGCAGCACTCGTGTGTGTGTGTGTGTGTGTGTGTGTGTGTGTGTGTGTGTGTGTGTGTGTGTGTGCGTGTGTGTGTGCGTGTGTGTGTGTGTGTGTGTGTGTGTGTGTGTTATGTGAGTACCACAGCATGGGTCTGGAAAATCTTGCCTTCTACCATGTCCATCCTGGGGATGGAGTCCAGGTTGGCAGGCTTGTCAGCAAGTGCTTTAAGCCACTGAGCCGTCTTCCTGGCCTAGTTGTGTATCTTTATGCCTAGATCTATGCCTATAACCATTTCTATAGCCAGAGTTATACCAATATCTATATGTACCTCCACATATATGCCTCTATACAATCTATATTATCTCTATCTGCTTATGTCTATAAAGAGTATGCACATGCAGATCCATAGATAATACTTTTATTAGGTTTATTGTAATGACAGAGTCATTCATTAATACATTAGTGTTCAATAAATATTTGTTGAATGACTGTAAAGAAATCCCTGTAACCTTTTAAGTTCTGGGAAAGGCTAGGTGTTGTGTCTTATATTTATTGTTGTAAAGCTAATATCAACAGAAAATCCAGCATTAAACTTGCTTGTCACTAGGAAATGCATTTTCTCAGTTATTTCAATTTCAGCAGCAGAGTAGAATTGAGGCTCAATGGTGTCGCCCGAAGGCTTTGTCCTGCTTCCCTCTGTCATCCTGGTACTGGCTTCACTTCAGACTGACTCTCCCAGGCTATCAGAATCTGTGTTTCCTCGTTTATGTGCCCTCAGGGGGCCATAAGTCTCTCCTCTTGGTCTTTCTCTTGGCTTGTTCCTTCACATCACTAGGAGGCAAGCACTGTCCAATTTACAAAAGAAAAATGATATTGTAGTAAAGATACTAACTAGCTCGTATAAATTCTAGAAAATTGGGACAATATAGCCAGGAGCAACCCTTAGGGCAAACCTCAAACCTCCTGAGCATTCGTCTCTGTATCCCAGATACCTATGAAGAAGGCATCCTCAATGGCTCATCTGATCAGAAGTGCTCATAAGACCTGAGGAGGCAAGGGCCTTTGGGATGTCCAGCCATGGGCTCAGACCTCCTGTGAGTCATAGGGCAGCAGTGACTTAGACACAAAGAGACTCAGAGAGTGGGCATCCAGGGAGGCCCACTACACGCCTGCTCAAGACTTTTTCCCACATGAGCCACCCACGTGGCACATAGCTCCCTGGAAAACAAAACTCAAAGGTTGACTCACCACTCTGCAATGCTTGAGGACTCCAGCTGAAGAGAAGGAAGCCACTTCATTATGATTATCAGCTGCCCACTGCTCCATAGCTCTCCCTCACGGGGGCGGGGGGAGGGGGGGTCTGCTAGCACCGCTGGCAGAGCTCCAGCTTGCAGCCGTGTGGGGTTGAAGTCAAGAGACAGGGCACATCTAATTCCTGTCAGGGCAAAGGCCACTGTAGAGCTGTCAAGGCGAGCGGGACTCGGCCAGCAGCAAGCCCAATGACAGCAGCCCATCTAACAACAGTGGCAGGCAGCAACAACCAGAACAGGTTCCCTGGAGCACTGGACGGCACCCCCAGGGGTGCTGTAAAACACGCTAGGAAGGGAAAATTTATGTGGTGGGGATTCCTTAAGAAGCAAGCGAAGATTTAGAAGCAGCAGGTACTAATGTTTTTTAAAAAGCAAAAAAAGCATGTCTCAGGGGGCATGCAGACCACATTTGTGATTAGAGAAACACCTGTCACCTTTCCTGGACCGGAAACAAGGACACTAAGAAGGAAAATAGAGGCTTTGCTAATTAGCTTGTTTCCTTTCTTCTCTGAGGACACCTGTGAGACTGCTTGCCTGAAGGCTTGACCTCCAGATTTTTGCAAGACTGTTTTCTTACAGACTTGAAATCTCAGCAATCCAGGACATTTTCCCCCCAGAAAAGCTGGCAGTACAACAGAGAACTGCTTCACTTCCTCTGCCACTTTTACTATACTACTCGGTTTTATTATCTTCCAAGAATATAAGTCTAGCTAAATTCTCAAAACTTATTTCGTATACTTATTGACTACCCCTGCACACATAGTCACAAGATTGTGACTTCCATGAGCACAAGGACCTTGCCTATCTTGTTAATGGATTCCTCCAGGCTTCGAGCAATAACCACTGCACATGGCAGCCACTCGACCAGTATAGTTAGATGAAAATTAAGACACGGCTCCTCACAGAGCTTGAAACATGTTATATGCTCAGATGAAAATTCAGGCGGGGTGACAAACGCCTATAATCCCAGCACACATTTCTACATAATCACCTTTGTCTAGTCCTGCCTGGGGTAGTTGTCTATCTAACTAAGCCCCCAAACTCTACTTCAGAAACACTTTTCATCTGGTAAGCCACTTCCCCATCTTCCAATTTTCCTGGTTCATTCAGTCTTTGAACAAGGAAAATAAAAAAAGTACCATTAGACACACACCAGAGAATAAGTCAAGATAAAAGCAAAAGGACAGAGCAGGCCCAGGGTAACGGCGGTCTGGAGGGACAAGAATTTTAGGGGCCATAGCTAAGATGGTAAATTAGGTCAGAACTAGCTAACGGTTCGTGAGAAAGAAAGAGAGGCGAAATCAGTTTTCCCTAGATATTATGTAAATTATATAATTACACAACTCCTGTAACTATGTTAATTTTCAACCAATGTCTGGCCAGTGTGCTGTATGAAAGTCCGGTTCCATCCCCAACTCCTGCAGTGATTCATAACTGCATAGTAACGTGGGAATCTGAGAATGCAGGATGGAGGCGGAACTAGGTGGAATACCAACATATCAACAGGCTCACCTTTCAGAATAACATTCCCATCAACACACACACACACACACACACACACACACACACACGGTCTGTAAAGTACCAGCTACAGTAACAATGGTGTCTAAGAAATTATTGTGAGAATTAGGGAAATTAATGCAATGTGTTCACTACCTTTATTGAGGCAAGCATTTCCTAATACATACAAATCACCACATAGTATACTTTAAATTTATACAGTTTGTCAGCCTTATTTAATAAAGCAAAAAGACAGAGAGAGAGAGAGAGAGAGAGAGAGAGAGAGAGAGAGAGCACTATAACTAGACGTCACTAGAGAAAAAAGACAGAGAAAACACAATTAACATACATGAAACATGAAGCCAATACAGCAGTTCTCTGTAGAGGTTCCCAATATCCATTCATTCAACATATGTCCAAGTACATTATTACTGCTGCTGTTCACACATTTGAAAAGTCACTGCCTTGATGCTCCGGAAACAGCAGTGGGAGCTACTGTTCCTTTTGTCAGTATTAAGCCCTTCGAAGGCATAATCATTTCAACTCTCACATTAACCGAGTGGAGGACTAGTACTGCACCACAGTATACGTGCAATAGTGAAGAAGTCCCTGACGAGACTCCCTGGACGATGTCCAGCTCCTCTAGGAAACAAGCAACCATCACAGTGTTGACCGACAGCAGCCGGTCCTTCCAAGTCTTAGCTTCTTACCCTACAGGATTTTTAATCCCCTTTTTGGAAGAATGTTTTACAAACTGAGATGCTGAAAATGCTGACACTGTGAGGAACTTAGAGATTTCATTATTTAGTCATATGCCAGGAGCATTTCTCAAACCAGCTTGAGACTGTCAAAATGCAATACAGTCTGATTCCCTGGTCTGGTTAAGTTCAGAAGTTTGGCTTCCTGGTTTTCAATGTATTTTTGCTTTCCTAAGGCTTTATATGGACCTCAGCGCTGCTAACTGGACTATGGTGCTTGTTCTGCCATCCAGTTCTGACTCCAAGCAACATACACTGGAAGTGTGAGTCTGAAGTAGACCTTGCCAGTCCCCTGGCCAGTCCACTGGCTTACAACTAACTACCCTCAGTAGTTAACAGTGTTCATTCTCCTCAACCACAGTTGTTCTGATTTTGTTCTTATAGCTTCCAGGTGTTTCTTCAAAACAAAATTCCACTGAGAAGGTGTGGCTGTTAGAATCACTAACCAGAAGAATAGAAAATGAAAATGTCATCACTTATTTACATTCATTCATTTGTTCAACTTAGCCCTACAGAACTTAGCCGGAGGTTCTGTCAACCAGTGGAGAAGAAAACCCACCTTTCTTGCCCTTGAGGTGTTTACATTCTGGTCCAAGAGGCTGACACAGAGATAACCTCATCTGATGGAGATGGGTGTAAAGCCACACAGGGGTTGTCAAAGGGAATGTGTGCGCTGTTGTAAAGAGTTTGACTCAGCCCCTTAACTGGGATGCAGGACACAGGAAAATCAGAGGCAAGAGCATCAGCAAATCATATAAGAGAAAACCTGAGCACTCAGAGTGTCCAATAATTGGTCCAGCTGGCCTTTGAGGTTCATTTCCTATGACAGGTTTCCAGTAAGTAGCTGATTAATTGATCAGCTGACTGACTGTTCTAGGGGTAAAATAAACTTCATGATAGAGTTCCATAGGTCTCTCAACAGTATGTGAATTTTGTTTTGCAAATTATAACTAGGAAGCACAAATGTCTAAAATGATCTTGTGAAAATGTGAATGTGTAAAAAGGGCTAGGTATAAATAAAACAATGTAATTGTGTAGACTATTCCTTATGTGGTGTTAAGGCTCTGTGGGCAGATAGATATCTAATACATAATCCAGTCCCCAAGGCTGAACAAGTAAGCACTTATGATATAATATGATGTCAGCCTCCATTCACGAACCAAGAACAAGAGGGTAACAGAGGGTGGCTTCCTGAATTCCATCTTGGGTGAGCAGGAAGGCATTACTGATAAGGTCACATTTGAGATAGTCTAAAGGACAATCAGAAGCTCATCTCTATGTCCAGTGACACCCTACAAACACCTTTCAGTTCTATCAGGCTGTCCCTAACCTTCCCTCAACACCCCACACTTGGTGCTGTGTCTTCTCTCAAGCCTTTCACTGTGTGTAGAAAGACCGCCTTCCCTCTTTTAACAATTCCTTCTAGCTCCTGAAGGCCCAATGCAGACATTCCTCATACATAAGATCCATGGAAATCTCCCACACAACAGCTGTAGCAGCAGCTAACCATTAGAAAGTCAAAGACACCTAGGGAAGGACAGAACGTGGCTGCACTGGGAGAAGGAGGAAGTGTGAATTGGCTGTCTGAGCTCAAGAAAATGGCCAGGATCCTTCTCAGTAAAAGAAAGGCTTTTCCTCATAGAGAGCATTCATGCTCTCAGGTCTAAGACTATGAATCTGATTTTGAGGAAAAATTTGTATCACTTTGATACGTTCCCAGCAGGATGTCCACACAGCATGAAAAGTAACCGATGACAGCAGCCATCTCTGTACTAGTACGAGTATCAGATGACTGTCACTGTGACTGGAAGACTTTGGAGAGGTCACAGATTCGTGGGGATAGATTCAGGTGTCACGGTCGCCACGCTGCTGCTTTGCTGACCTCCCAGCTCTCCAGATATAGATCGCCCGTGGTTCTTTCTCTAGACTCAATGTCTCGACAGTGAAGAAAGAGATCAAGTGGAGTGTAGATCCTAAATAGCAAGATGACAGGAATGCCACCTATGAAGAACAAGCATGAACCAGGGAACTCATTTTTTTAAAACTTAATTCGGTTATTGCATGGGTTTTTTTTTGTTGTTGTTGTTGTTGTTGTTATAAATTACTGAGGAATTGTTTTCCTACACTATAAACATTAGCTCACTATATAGAGGCTTCAGAGGAATGGACTAATGTTCCATTATGAAGGACCTCACTTTATTTTAAAATCATATATTTAAATTATTGTCTGTATATGTTTGTATGTGGTATGCATGATTGCAAGTGTGTTCACACATGTGTGTGCACATGAAGATGCTCGTACACATGTATGCACATCAGGCATGTATCATCCTTCATCCTTGATTTCCTTTTACTGAGGCAGTCTGTCACTGAACCTAGAATTAATCTAGTTGAGGTAGCCTAGATCCAGGGATCCCCCATGTCCACCTCCCAAGAACTGGGATCACACACACACACACACACACACACACACACACACACACACACACACACACACTCGCACACACGTGTGCATGCATGCATGCACGCTCTTGGTTGTTTTATGTGTATACTGGGGATCTGAACTCTGGTCCTGCCACTTGTCCAGCACGGGCTTTACCCATTGAGCCATCTCTTCAGCCCAATTCAAACGTTTGTAAGACTGTTCTCTGCATCTGCTATTCATTTTCAGTTTGCCTGTCTTACTTGCACTTTGAGTTTTACACTAAAGAACTAACTTTGACTAGATTTAGGTAAAAAGCTAATATGTTGGGAAAACCCATTGGGCTATTTCATAGAGTTCAAGGAAAAGTCAAGAAGGGGGAAGGAACTGATCGATTTTAGAGAAATTGGCAGTGAAACTTTGAGAGACTTCTCGCCACAGATACTCCTTTCACATTAGTTCCTATGACATCAACCTTATGGCTTTCCTCAACTCCACTTCCATTTCAGTTCTCTGGAAAGAGCTCCTGTTGGACACTTAGATCAAATATTCTACTTGAAAAAAACCTTTTAGTAAAAATATGTATGAATGGGAAAATACGCCTAGCCACTGAAGAAGCCAAATGCACAGAAAATAGAGCAATTTCTTAGAAGGGGAAACTTGGGAAAATACCTTCCCATTTCAAATACCTCTTTTCTGATGTAGTTTTACCTCTTATTTCTTCACACCCCACTACCACCTCAGGCTGATAAGAGCCAAACACCTTATGTGACAATATCCTGGGTGAGCTCAAATGCCATTCTCTCTCTCTCTCTCTCTCTCTCTCTCTCTCTCTCTCTCTCTCTCTCTCTCTCTCACACACACACACACACACACACACACACACACACACACACACACACTCACACACAAACACACACTATATATGTGTATATATATATATATATATATATATATATACATATAAAGTCAGAAAAATAATCGTATTCTGTAAGTTGTGAAAACAATCCAGTTCAATGGTGGACTGTAGTAGCTCTTATCTTGACTACACATGATGTTCTTCCTTGGTTACTAAAGCCATTTAGCTATTTCTTGAAAGTAAAATCTAGACATTTATCAATACCAGAAAATATGTGATGTGATGTGATGTGATGTGATGTGATGTGGTGTGGTGTGGTGTGGTGTGGTGTGGTGTGGTGTGTGTGTGTGTGTGTGTGTGTGTGTGTGTGTGTGTGTGTGTGTGTGTTCTGTTATGCTCCATTCAATAATCTGTAAAAAAAAAAAAAATTACTCTTGGTCAAGTCCAACCACCTTGCCAAGATCATCTTTCTTCACATTATGGCACCTGCACACTCTTATTTCTTGAAAGTTTTGATTTCTTTGGCCCTTGTAACCCTGTTCATATTGAGGAAACTATTCCAAGGCTCATTTTTCTTTGTTTTGCTTTTTTCTTCTCCTTATTCAATGACATTACTTATAGACAAAACTGTCAATTTCATCCTGAAAACTACCTTCCTATTTTCAAAGAATTCTATTTCATTCATACTTAAAGAGTAGTATTTCTCCAATAAAAAAACTATAATTATGTCAGAAATCATATAATCATTTTGGAATTACCGCTATCAATTTGCCCCTTCTTGGTGTTAGGTTTCAACCCTGGGACAGGTGGCTGAACTGTCTGTTGTAATGCCTATTCTTGGTTGTCAACCTGACTATATTTGGAATGAACTATAATCCAGAAATGGAGGGCACACTTGTGATCCGGATCTTGGGGCAGGAAGCCAACATGCCTTTGATCTGGATCTTGAGGCTGGATGACACACTCTTTTGATCCAGACCGTGAGGCTGGAAGGCACACCTTTAATCTGGGCCACACCTTCTGTCAGAAGCCTGTATAAGGACAATGGAAGAGGGAACAGTGTGTTCTTCGACTACTTGCCCTCACCTCCGTCAGCACATCCATTCCTTCTTGGAGATCCCAGCAGACCAGCTGAGACACCCAGCCGTGTGGGACTGAGCAGCTACTAGATTCTGGACTTTCCATTCATAACGAGCCATTGTTGGACTGCAGCCTGTAAATCATTCCAATAAATTCCTATATATATATATGGAGAGAGAGAGAGAGAGAGAGAGAGAGAGAGAGAGAGAGAGAGAGAGAGAGAGAGAGAGAGATTTTCATTCAATAAGTTCTGTGACTCTAGAGAACCCTGACTACTACACCTGTTTAACACATCAAATCGGACCTACTGCACCTGGTTCCCCTCTGTCCCCTCTCGCTTCCCAGACTGGCCTCTCCCGGATGTCCCTGTGTCTGTCTCTACCTATGCTCTCCCACATATTTACAGTAAACCTTCTCCTCCACCATACCTAGGAGCAGTCATGTTCCCTTTCCTTTTCCTTTTTATTTATTTATTTATTTTCATTCATTCATTCGTTATTGCTCCAAAGTCCTAGAAATCATGAAATGATCTTTAAATCAGATTGCACAATTCTACTGGTCCTGTAAACGTTGATATAGAACCATCAAATAATAGTGTTACTGAAACATTATAGGTTTTCAAATGAGCAGACCTAAGCAGCCCAATATTGTTATCACTTGGGATAAATTACTAAGAAATTTAGAAATCTTTGCCAGAGAAAAGTCCTAAATTTCATGGGACGAATACAAAATATAATAGTGTTCTACCTGTCTATTTTTTAAATCAGTTTTCATCCATCAAAGAGCTGCTAATTATGGAAAATGACTAATAACCTTTTCGAGCCCCCAAACCAGTGGTAACTACAAGTCCCATGATGCAAAGCTCGAGCCTGAACCTAGGTTACCCACAGTGCCTCCTGGGAATTGAAGTCTTTTTTTGTCATCCACTTGGCAAACTAGATATCGTAGCCCCACTTCTCAGAAAGTCACTTTTAATAATAAAGTCTGTGGAAAAACCATCGATTCCCTGCGAGGAAATTAGATTTGTTCTGGCTCCTGCGGAGACGGGGGACCAACAACTCGCGTGCGAGCCTCCGGGGGGGGGGGGGGGGAGGCGGCGGCGTGGTGTGACGTCACTTCCTGGAGCGGCTCCCCTCCCTCCGGTTCGCGGGAACCGGGCTGGGTGTCCGAGCCGAGGCGCAGAGCGGCTGCTCTCGGGCTGAAGGTCACGTGCGCCGGCCCGGGTCCCGGGAAGGAGGCGACCCGCCGCAGTCGCAGAGGAGCCGCCCGCCTGCGCCCGGACGCGCGGGGCCGCTCCGAGGTAGGGCGCGGGGAACACCTGCCGCCGCCGCGACGGCCGGCGGGAGGGTGCGGGGACGGTCCCCGCCGCACCCCCTGGCCGCCCCTGACCTTCGGTCGCCCCGGAGGGCTGGAGGCGGCGGAGCGGGGTCCGAGGGGCCGCGGCCCGCGCCGACCACACCGCCCCGCCGGGTCCCCCGGGGCCTGCGTTCCGCCGCCTCCTCGCTGTCACCCGCCTCACCTGTCCGAGTGAGACAGGTAGCCCTGGAGCATCCTCCTGGGGACACGCGGCAGGCGCCCCCGAAGAGCGCGACACGCCCTCCGCACGCTCGGCGGGCAGCTCCCGGGTGGAATTCCCGGGCACACTCGGGCCGCCTTCCGCAGCCCCGGGCCTCAGGTGGCAGATGTCAAAGGCCAGCTCGCGGGCGCTGGGAAGTCGTGCTCAGTTATTCTTTCTTTTTTTTTGGGGGGGGGGGGGGGGTTGGGTGCGTCTGAAAGAACGCAAGAGGTGAATCAGCAGCTCCAGGTTCTTGAATATTCGACTCTAAGGAAGGTTCACTGGCCACGGGAGGTTAAAAAAATCCTGTTTCAGCATCTTCCCAAGGGCAGTAGAGTTGAGCAAATGAAATTGGGCTGGTAGATCCCCTGTTGTGTGTAGACCTGTCATTTCTAGTGGTCGGCACCTACAATTCTAGTTTATGCCTTCAGGATGGAGTGGTAAATCATTACATCTTTATAGTACAAAATTATTCAGACACAGCCATCTTTTGGACCCTAGATTATGGAGAATTAATAGTCTACAAACTAAAACAAAATTTAATCATTTAATGTTGACTGTGAATCTTGACCAAATCTTCATCAAGATTCATCCACTTGATCAAGTTTACTTTTGATGTATTTGACTTTCAGAACACTTGTTGCTGGGTTGGTGGTGCAGGTGTGGATCCCTGCCACCGGAGGCTGCAGCGAGAAGATAAAAGTTCAAGCCTATCTGGGCTACTGAGCAGGTTCACAGGCAGCACCTTGGTAAGTTATCCAGACCCTGTCTAAAAATTTAAAACATCATTTTTTAAAAAGAGAAGGGTAGAGTACCTGCCTTAGTATTTCCAAGTCTCTACCAAGATAAAAGAGCACTCCTTAATACATACCTCCTAAGTTTCTGGTTGACTGATTAGCATATTTAAGTCCTTGGTATATAAAAAGGCAACGTGAAGAATTTTTCCTTTCTGTTCCTATACTCACCCTGTAGCACTAACAGGATGACAAAACTTCTTATTCTTCCTCTTTTGGGGGGAGGGCGGGGTATGTTTGTATGTATGTTAGGATTGAATCCATTTGAAATGAACATTGCAAAAAAAAAAGGAATTAAAGTAGGCCAAAAAAAATGCTGTGTATTATGAGTGTTAAGAAAAGAAATATAGAATAAGTTCGTTCTCTTCACCTTGCAAACAAGAGTCCACCGAGATAATTTAGATGAAAGGAAGGTGTTAGAAGTATGTCTTCATAGACTAATTGAGTGTCACAAATTCAAGAGAACATTTTGTTTCTTTTGGATTGTGTTCTAGGTAGAAGACTAACCCTTAAGTGTTTCCTTCTCATTTTAGATAGTGAGTTCCTAAGAAGAAAAGAATGAACTGCGTATTGGTTGTTGTTTAAGTGTTGGGAGTCAGGAGCATCCAGGTTTGTTGCCAAGGCTGAAGAAGATGGCAACCCCCTACGTCCCAGTTCCTATGCCAATAGGAAACTCTGCTTCCAGTTTTACAACCAACAGAAATCAAAGGAGTTCTTCTTTTGGTAGTGTTTCAACAAGCTCAAACTCTTCCAAAGGCCAGTTAGAAGACTCAAATACGGGTAATTTTAAGCAGATGAATGTTCAGGATCGGATGGACAGTACATCGTCGGTCTGTGGTAGTCCTCTCATTAGGACTAAATTTACAGGTACAGATTCATCCATTGAATATTCTACTAGACCAAGAGACACTGAAGAGCAGCATCCTGACACAGTGAACTGGGAAGATAGACCTTCTACACCTACGATTCTGGGCTATGAAGTTATGGAAGAGCGAGCCAAATTTACTGTAAGTATTGGCTTCTGCTGCACACCAGTAACAAGTAAAAGACCTGTGTGCTTAAGTGCGTCCTGATTAAGGCAAGCCTGTACTTCAAATTCTTGACCATAAAATTCTGTGGCTATTACCCAGTGAGTTCCACTATGCTTTTGCAAACTCTTATTTTACCACCAGACATACCTCTGTAATTAGCACATAGATAGAAAAAGAACATCATAGAACACCCCATGCTCCCTGACAGTCAGTACCCACTTACCCAATATTTTTCTGCTAGCCTCTGTTAATTTTGCCCCTTTTTGTACATGACATGAATGTGGTTGTTGAGCACATACTCTTTGGGATCCAGTTTTGTTTCAGCATTATGCTTGTAAGAGTCACCCTTAATCTTGCCTAAGATTTTTTTTTTTTTTGTTTGTTTTTTTTGTTTTTTCGAGACAGGGTTTCTCTGTGTAGCTTTGCGCCTTTCCTGGGACTCACTCGGTAGCCCAGGCTGGCCTCGAACTCACAGAGATCCGCCTGGCTCTGCCTCCCGAGTGCTGGGATTAAAGGCGTGCGCCACCACCGCCCGGTGAATCTTGCCTAAGATTTAGGCAAGCTTTTTAGGTAGCTCGTTTTTTTATTGCTGGTAATACTTGTTTTTTCAGGTTCTTTCAGACACTACTGCTGTGATCATTTAGTACTAATCACTTGGGAAACACATGTACACGTTTCCATTTGTAGTCTCTTGAGGAGTAAAGTTGCTAGTTCAGAGGCCCAGTCTTGGAAGTGAGCCATGCTCTGTAGGGGTCATGCCCCTGCAGTGTGGGATTTCCACTCATTCCACACCTTCCTAGTGTGTCACCTTTTTCCTACCTTCTTAATTCATGTATTCTGGTTTATATAAAATGGGAGTTTTCTTAGTAACTAATTACGTTAAAACATTCAAAACCTAGCCAGGAAGTGGTGGCGCATGCCTTTAATCCCAGCACTTGGGAGGAAGAGGCAGGTAGATCTCGAAGTTCAAGGCCAGCCTGATCTACAGAACAAGTTCCGGGACATCCAGGGCTACACCAAGAAACCCTGTCTCAAAAAACAAAAACGAACATTCGAAACCTTTTTGGCTATTTGAATATTCTCTTATACATCTCCATTTTGCAGTTTTCTGGATTCCAGACACAAGTCCTTTTTCAGATACATGTGTTGTAACTGTTTTCACCTTTCCTTGGTGCATGCGATAAACACAGCCTTAACATGGCCCCGTTTGTTATTCTCTTTTATTACTAATACTCTTCCCTCTTGTCTCTTCTTTTAAGATGGGGTCTCACTGTAACCTGGGCTTTTCTCAGACGTTCCATTCTGCTGCCTCTGCTTCTCAAATGCTAGGATTGGACATGTCTACCGCCCTTGGCTCTGGCTAGCACTTTTTTATAATCTTTGCCTCCTCTAATGTTGTAAAGGTGTTGTCTGTGTTTTTGTCCAGCAGTTTTTTGTTAGATCTTTCACATTTATATCAGCAGACCATCCAGGAGTGATTCTTATGTCCATGTTATGATGAAAGGCCAAGCCATTTGTATTTTTCTACAAAATCTCTTAATCAGGCTTTTATTTAAAAGCGCTCTTCATTTCCGATGTTGCCTATGACATAATTCATAAAGGTGAATCTCCTTCTATGCTCCATTTTTCTGTCTTTACCAGTCCCACAACCCTGATTAGTAGTGTTTAATAGGCCTTGATCCCCAGTAGTTTCAGCACCCCAGCTCTGTTGTTTCTCGGGATGGCCTTTGCTGTTCTCTGCCCTGTGCGCTGGGTTTGTTAGATCTACAAGTCACTGGAGAGACCCTTCATCTTCACAGTACTGTCTTCAGCTGTCTGAGGAACCCACTGATTAAGTCTTTAATTCCTCCTAATAATGTTTTGTAGTTGCTGGTGGGGGTCTTGTGGTCAGATTTGTCTGGTACAGCTGTTTGATACTCTTTGAAGAGATCTGTAGTTATTTGTTTTCTATTTATAGCTACTATTTACAAAATCTGTCCAGTTTTAATATTTTTAGGTTTTGTTTTGGTTTGCTTGTTTGTTTTTTAGTGTTTTGAGACAGGGTTTCTCTATGTAGCCCTGGCTGTCCCTGGAACTCACTGTGTAGACCAGGCTGGCCTTGCACTCATACAGATCTGTCGGTTTCTGCCTCCCAATTGTTGAGATTATAGGCAGGGGCCACCACACCCCACCTAGTTTACATACTTTAATATTGTGTGTTTATGTATATTGGCCTGTATGTGTTTACCATTAACCCTGCTAAAGTCACATTAGGTTGAAGAGTTTGTTTTTGGATTTTCTTGCAGTAAAGTTTTTATGTTTACTCTAATGTTTCATGCTGTTAACTTCTGCCTGGAGGAGAGGACCTCCAAGGAAAACTGTTGACATTATTTTTGAAGAAACAGTCTAGGATAGGATGCAGGTATCATACCACTGGGATAAAATGTGAATCTGTGTGAAACCATCATTTAGAACGTGTCACCAATTATAACCTGAGGCTGTTTCTTTATATTGACCTACCCATTTTAAGAAAGAATGTGTACTCATTAAGAGTCTGCTAGGGTGTGAGTGTTTTTGTCCACCGAGAGCCACAGGTTGAAACCTAACTTCCACGATGATGATACTGAGAGGTAGGACCGAGCTGGTGAGATGGCTCAGTGAGACGGCCTTAGCTCATTCCTAGTTCTCTCATGGTAGAAGGCGACAACAGTTCCTGGATGTTGCTATCGATGTCCACACATGTACTGTGGCATTTTATCTTGGTCGTATTTTTAAAAAGTATTTTGTTGTCTCCCATCTCCATATATTTGATTATCTAAATGACTTTATATTTCTTGCATGAAAATTGCTTGATATATCAAGTTTTCAGAAATGTTTGACCTCTTTGTTTTCTTTCTCTTTCTCCCCCTCCCCTCTCTCAACATCACTTTTCCTGTATCGATCCTTTTCTCTCTTTCTAGGTATATAAAATACTAGTAAAGAAAACCCCAGAAGAAAGCTGGGTAGTTTTCAGAAGGTACACCGACTTCTCTAGGCTTAATGACAAAGTAAGTAGTAAATAAATCCCAAGCTGCCTCTGAGTTGTGAGTTATCAATCTGTTCCCTGTGTCTTTGTGGGTTCGTAAGAAAATCAGACTTCATTTCACTATAATAATCTTCAGTGTCATCTGCATGGTTAGCTGCGTATTTATGAAAAATTGTTCTAATATAAATATGAAATACTTAATATTTCATATATAATTAAGAACCTGAAAAGTTTGAAGAAAATCTACTTAACATCACTTATAATTAAAGGAAAGTGAACAAAAATATGTAATGTTAGTATTAGTTCTATTGCTACCTA